GGTTTGAATTCGGAAGGGGCTCGCGCAGGAACAGGTTTGAGTTCGGAAGGGGCTCGAGTTCGGAAGACGCTGGAATCTGGAACAGGTTCGAGTTTGTTTTTTCCCCACATCCTGAGTGGGGTTCTTGTTTTCCCAGAACACCCTCTCCTTCCCACCCACCTCCCGCTCCATCTTCCATACAGCACAATATTATTCCTACCACACACACCATACCATACCATAGTTCCTACCACACATACCATACCATACCAAACCATACCACACCATACGTACCATACCGTACCATACCATACCATGGCGTACCATAGCATACCATACCATATCACACCAATGCCACACCGTACCATACCATACCATACCTCCAGTACCATACCATACCATATCATACCATAACGTACCATACCATACCTACCATACCCCTCCAGGGAGGCCCCGCCTGAGCGAGGAGGGTATCGGAAAACCATACTATTTACATGGTTTCGTGCCCCTCCCACCCCTCCAGGGAGGCCCCGCCTGAGCGAGGAGGGTATCGGAAAACCATACTATTTACATGGTTTCGTGCCCCTCCCACCCCTCCAGGGAGGCCCCGCCTGAGCGAGGAGGGTATCCGAAAACCATACTATTTACATGGTTTCGTGCCCCTCCCACCCCTGCAGGGAGGCCCAGCCTGAGCGAGGAGGGTATCGGAAAACCATACTATTTACATGGTTTCGTGCCCCTCCCACACCTCCACGGAGGCCCCGCCTGAGCGAGGAGGGTATCCGAAAACCATACTATTTACATGGTTTCGTGCCCCTCCCACCCCTCCAGGGAGGCACCGCCTGAGCGAGGAGGGTATCGGAAAACCATACTATTTACATGGTTTCGTGCCCCTCCCACACCTTCCAGGGAGGCCCCGCCTGAGCGAGGAGGGTATCCGCAAACCATACTATTTACATGGTTTCGTGCCCCTCCCACACCTCCAGGGAGGCCCCGCCTGAGCGAGGAGGGTATCCGAAAACCATACTATTTCCCCACATCCTGAGTGGGGTGCTTGTTTTCCCAGAACACCCTCTCCTTCCCACCCACCTCCCGCTCCATTTTCCATACAGCACAACATTATTCCTACCACACACACACACCATACCATACCATAGTTTCTACCACACATACCATACCATACCAAACCATACCACACCATACGTACCATACCGTACCATACCATACCATAGCGTACCATAGCATACCATACCATATCACACCAATGCCACACCGTACCATACCATACCATACCTCCAGTACCATACCATACCATATCATAACATACCGTACCATACCATACCTACGAAGAGGGTATCGGAAAACCATACTATTTACATGGTTTCGTGCCCCTCCCACCCTTCCAGGGAGGCCCCGCCTGAGCGAGGAGGGTATCCGAACACCATACTATTTACATGGTTTCGTGCCCCTCCCACACCTCCAGGGAGGCCCCGCCTGAGCGAGGAGGGTATCCGAAAACCATACTGCTTACATGGTTTCGTGCCCCTCCCACCCCTCCAGGGAGGCCCCGCCTGAGCGAGGAAGGTATCCGAAAACTATACTATTTACATGGTTTCGTGCCCCTCCCACCCCTGCAAGGAGGCCCCGCCTGAGCGAGGAGGGTATCCGAACACCATACTATTTACATGGTTTCGTGCCCCATCCCACCTCTCCAGGGAGGCAAAACCATACTATTTACATGGTTTCGTGCCCCTCCCACACCTCCAGGGAGGCCCCGCCTGAGCGAGGAGGGTATCGGAATACCATACTATTTACATGGTTTCGTGCCCCTCCCACCCCTCCAGGGAGGCCCCGCCTGAGCGAGGAGGGTATCGGAATACCATACTATTTACATGGTTTCGTGCCCCTCCCACCCCTCCAGGGAGGCCCCGCCTGAGCGAGGAGGGTATCGGAATACCATACTATTTACATGGTTTCGTGCCCCTCCCACACCTCCAGGGAGGCCCAGCCTGAGCGAGGAGGGTCTCGGAAAACCATATTATTTACATGGTTTCGTGCCCCTCCCACCCCTCCAGGGAGGCCCCGCCTGAGCGAGGAGGGTATCGGAAAACCATACTATTTACATTGTTTCGTGCCCCTCCCACCCCTCCAGGGTGGCCCCGCCTGAGCGAGGAGGGTATCGGAAAACCATACTATTTACATGGTTTCGTGCCCCTCCCACCCCTCCAGGGAGGCCCCGCCTGAGCGAGGAGGGTATCGGAAAACCATACTATGTACATGGTTTCGTGCCCCTCCCACCCCTCCAGGGAGGCCCCGCCTGAGCGAGGAGGGTATCGGAATACCATACTATTTACATGGTTTCGTGCCCCTCCCACCCCTCCAGGGAGGCCCAGCCTGAGCGAGGAGGGTATCGGACAACCATACTATTTACATGGTTTCATGCCCCTCCCACCCCTCCAGAGAGGCCCCGCCTGAGCGAGGAGGGTATCGGAAAACCATACTCTTTACACGGTTTCGTGCCCCTCCCACCCCTTCAGGGAGGCCCCGCCTGAGCGAGGAAACCACCAACGCCGTGTGCACAAAACCATAATGCAGCGATACATTGTTTGGGAGATTATTGGCAGTCTTTTAAATCGCTCTTGGCCGATCAGTGCCTGCGTTCGAATTGTAGTTACCAGACACCTCGGCAAGTGCTTTCGTCTAGCGAACTCGTGTCGCCCACCCTCTTGTATAACCTCGACTGGACGAGGGAAATGAGACCACTCAGACCAACCTCACGAATCGGACCTCGCGAGGAAAATGAGACCACTCAAACCAACCTCCCGCTGCTGCTCCTGCTGCGGTTCCTGCTGCTGCTCTTCGCCATCATCCATCTTATCCTTTTCCTCCTCCTCCTCCTCCTCCTCCTCCTCCTCCTCCTCCTCCTCCTCCTCCTCCTCTTCCTGGAGGGTATCGGAAAACATGCTGTTTACGCGGTTTCGTGTCCCCCCTCCACTCCTCCAGAGAGGCCGCGCTTGAACGAGGAGGGCCGCGGAAAGCATTACTCTTCGCCAGGTTTCGTAGCCCTCCCCTCTTCCAGCGGGGCCCCGCCAAAGCGAGGAGGGCATCAAGAAAATGGGTCCCACGAAACCGTTAATCTCTTTATGTGGGGAACTCCGTTCGCATAATTCCTCGGGCGCTGCTCGTGCACCCAGGCGCTTTTGGGGGAAACACGGGGCCTCATATCTTATGTGGTGTTTGAATGTTAGCGCGCTGATTGTATGTAAATCCCTCCTATCTGTAACGTCGGCCCCCAGAGGTCTCGACCCATTCCCAAGGATCGTTTTTCATCCCGAGTCGTTTTTTTGACGGTCCCGAGGCAGATTAACGCATCCCAAAGGCCGACAATTAGCTTGGAGACAGACTCAACCATGTGTAGTTGTGGGCACCGTCGTTGTATTCACCGCATTCGGAGGAGCTCCCTGTAGGGCCATGAAACGTGTGAGGGGTGTGCCTAACTGGGTGCGGTGGGCGCGCGCGAACGCAGCCACTGGGGCCGTCGGTGGAGCTCGCTGTTGGGCCACGAAGCGTATGAGCGGTGTGTGTGTGTGTGTGTGTGTGTGTGCGGTGAGCACATGCTAACACAGCCACCGGGGCCGTCGGTGGAGCTCACTACGGGGCCGCGAAGCGTGTGAGGGGCGTGCCAGAATGGATGCGGTGGGCGCATGTGAGCGCTGGCATTTGGGCTTCCGGTAGAGCCACGAAACGTGTGAGGGGTGTGCCGAAACAACGACATGCGGATGGCAGAGGCAAGGATGGGAGGAGGGAGGGGGGAGGAGGAGAGGAGGAGGAGGAGGAGGAGGAGGAGGAGGAGGAGGAGGAGGAGGAGGGAGGAGGAGGAGGAGGAGGAGGAGGAGGAGGAGGAGGAGGAGGGGAGGAGGGAGGGGGAGGAGGAGGAGGAGGAGTAGGAGGAGGAGGAGGAGGAGGAGGCGGAGGAGGAGGAGGCGGAGGAGGAGGAGGGGGAGGGGGAGGAGGAGGGGGAGGAGAAGGAGGAGGAAGGGGAGGAGGAGAGGAGGAGGAGGAGGAGGAGGAGGAGGGGAGGAGGAGGAGGAGGAGGGGAGGCGGCAGGAGGAGGAGGAGAGGAGGGAGGAGGAGAGAAGAGGGAGGAGGAGGGAGGAGAGGAGGAGAGGAGGAGGGGGAGGAGGAGGAGAGAGGAGGAGGAGGAGGCGGCGGAGGAGGAGGAGGAGGGGAGGAGGAGGAGGAGGAGGAGGAGGAGAGGAGGAGGAGGAGGAGGAGGAGGAGGAGAGGAGGAGGAGGAGGAGGAGGAGGAGGAGGAGGAGGAGGAGGAGGAGGAGGAGAGGAGGAGGAGGAGGAGGAGGAGGAGGAGAGGAGGAAGGAGGAGGAGGAGGAGGAGGAGGAGGGGAGGGAGGAGGAGGAGGAGGAGGAGGAGGAGAAGAAGAGGAGAAAGAACGAGGAGGGTTGAAGGGAGGAGCTACAAAGGCGGAAGAGCAGGAAGGGAGGAGGAGTGAGGAGGAGGAGGACGAGGAGGAGGAGGAGGAGGAGGAGGAGGAGGAGGAGGATGGGAGGAGCGACAAGGAGGAGGGGAGCGATAAGGAGGAGGAGGAACGAGGAGGGAGGAACGAGGAGGAGGAGGAGGAGGAGGAGGAGGAGGAGGAGGAGGAGGACGAGGAGGAGGACGAGGAGGAGGAGAGGCACGCGGGGCGCCGCCGCTTCAAAGCGAGGACCCAGAACTACATGACGGTTGGGCATAACGAGAACCCGTCGTGATTTTTTCTTGACCCGCCGGGGCCCCTCGGAGCCGCCGCCGCCGATCCGCCGCCGCTGGCCGCCAGCCGCCGCCGAGGCGCCGCCGAGCCGCCGCCGAGCCGCCGCCGAGCCGCCGCCGCCGAGCGGCGCCTCGGCGGCCCTCCCCGCCGTTTGGGCCCCCCGGCCGCCCCGCACGGGCGGCTCCACGACGCCTCGACGAAGACGACAACGCCGACGCCGCTGCGGCGTCTCGGCGGCGCGGCCGCGCGGGCGAGGCGCGGGGATGCTGCAGGGCGCCGAGTACGCGCGGCAGATCGCGGACGCGGACGGCAGGAGCCAGCGGCTCCTTTGGCGGGGGAGGCTCGAGGGTCGAGGTTCGAGGATCGAGGGCCGAGGGTCGAGGGTCGAGGATCGAGGGTCGAGTGGGGGGGGAAGGATCGAGGGGCGAGGAGCGGAGGCCCGTTTGAGACACCGGTAGTCGGCCTTCGGGGGGCCTTTCTCGTCGCCACGGCTGGACGCAGCTCGGAAACTGGTGCGTTTGGACCCCGGGAGGGGGCCGGGGACCGATTTTAAGCCGATCTTGAGTCCACAGTGTATCAAGTCGCCCTTCTCCGAAAGGAGGAGGAGCAGGAGGAGGAGGAGGAGGAGGAGGAGGAGGAGGAGGACGCGGAGGAGGAGGAGGAGGAGGATGAGAAGGAAGAGGAGGAGGCTTGAGGTTCGAGCAATCCCACTTCGTGGTGGAAGCGAAACTACGAGCGGCGGAGCTGCGCAGCTTTGCTAAGCTGCTTAGGCCACTTCACCCATTCGATGCGATTTCAAGTGTTCCCGCCGAAGAGGGTCAATCCGATGAGAGCATGGCTTCGCTAACTCACGCGTTCGCGAGTGATCGAAACGACCACACGACATGCAGAACCGAACATTTGAAGTCTTAGAGAACCTCATATGATGTGTCCCCTCCACCCCCCCCCAGCAATGTGACGCCGCCCTCCCCACAGGGGTAAAACGAACCTTTGAATTGACACTAAGAGGTCGGAAACAGAGAGGGATCCACCATTCAGAAGCTGTGGCCTTGGAGGCTGATCCTTGACAAGCTCTGTATCTGTATCTGCATTCGTCGAGCTCATGCCGAGATAACAACGCATGAGACACAGACAGGGCAGGCGGAGGAGGAGGAGGAGGCGGAGGCGGAGGCGGAGGCATAGGAGGAGGACGAGGAGGAGAAGGAGGAGGAGGAGGAGGAGGAGGAGGAGGGAGGAGGAGGAGGAAGAGGGAGGAGGGAGGGGAAGGGGGTAGTGGAGGAGGAGGAGGGAGGATGGAGAGAGGAGGAGAGGAGGAGGAGGAGGTAGGAGGAGGAAGAGGCGGAGAAGAGAATGAGGCAAGGAGAGGGCGCATAGAGAGGGAAAAAGTAGAGGAGGATAGATGAGGTATGGGGGGAATGAGGGGGGCAGGATGAGGTAGGAGCAGAGGACTGGGCCCCCGACCGAGGCGGGGTATCGAGGCCACTGCGACAGTCCCACCATTCCCCCCCTGGACAGTATCGACTCCAAGCTTTCTTGCCATTCGTGCCCTCCTCCTCTCCTCCCTCCCTCCTCCCCCTCCTCATCCTCCTCCTCCTCCTCCTCCTCCTCCTCCCCCTCCTTATCCCTCCTCCTTATCCCTCCTCCTTATCCCTCCCCCTTATCCCTCCCCCTTCTCACTCCAGGCTCCCCTCCCTCTCCCTTCTCCCTCTCCCCTCGTCCTCGCTTCTCTCGTCCGCGCCCGGGTCGTCAGATCCTTCTCCCTCCTCGCCTGGGCGGAACACCGTCGCCGCACAGCCAGGCCACCGCAAGAACACCGCCAGTGCACATGCGGAACGCCGTGGCACACCAACGGAACATCGGGACTTGACCGAAGCTCTCTCGGGACACCGCTAGGGGAACAAACATGTTTCGGATTGGCGCTGGAGCCCCCAGGCGGCGCATACGGCGCCGCCCCTGTCGCGCTCCGCGCGCCAGGGAGGGGGGCCCAATTCGAGAAATCTGCGCGTACCTCTGAGTTCTTATGTTTCTTTCATTAGTCGTTTCGCTGACCGACGGCAAGCCGTTGAAAATCAACTCGGATACAATCTGGGATCCAGACCACCGTCAGAACACCGCCAGAGCACATCTGGAACACCGTGGCACATTCATCAGGACCAATCGGGATTCCATCTGGGAGCCAGGACCGTGTACAGCCAACCCGCATAGTAAGGATGCCGCTTTCGCTGGCCGCGGCCCGCCCGCAAAGTGTCGACATGGCCCTGCAAGGCCCTTGCATCCTTATCGCGACCCACCCCGCGACCCGCCCCGCGACCCACCCACGACCCACCCCGCTAATACCCCCCCGCGACCCCCCCGCGATCTATCCGCGACCCACCCCGCGACCACCTGCGACCCACCCCCGCAACCCACCCCGCGACCCACCCAGCGACCCTTCCCGCGCCCGCCCCATCACTCTTATCCGCAACTGCGACTGCGGAGTGTTCCAGTGGACGTCCATGCCAAGAGACACCCTGCTTGCCTCCAGGGTGCCCTGGGTTTCTTGGCTTTCGGTGGCTTTGCGATGGAAAGCGTGACGTTCCCACACCAAAAATCAATGGACGTCCTGGGGTCTCAGGGTTCCTTGAGATCCCACGTTGCAAAACAAAACAGCATCGCAGAAAATCGCGCCCGGAGCCGCGGACCCCGTCTTTCTGCGTCATCTCGAGAGCCGGATGGATCTGCGAGGGCCCCGTGGCCCGAAACGGAGCGAGAGCGCCCGTTGTGCAAAAATGGCAGCGCCAGGATCTCAGGGTCGGATCTCTTGTGGACAGTCTCTCGTGGTCGAGCTCTCCTCCTCCTCCTCCTCCTCCTCCTCCTCCTCCTCCTCGACCTCCTCGACCCTCCTCCTCCTCCTCCTCCTCCTCCTCCTCCTCCTCGACCTCCTCAACCCTCCTCCTCCTCCTCCTGCTCCTCCTCCTCCTCCTCCTCCTCCTCCTCCACTTCCTGCACCTTCCGCGGGGGAGGCCGCCCGCCCGCCTGCCCCCCTCCAGCTTGGGCTCCGGCCGCCCGGGCTCGAGCTCCCTCTTCCGCGAGGACGCCCGGCGGGGCTCCCTGGCCGCCCCCGCGGGCCTCTGGTGCGCGCAGGAGGGGCCCTTCGCCGAGGTGACCTCCCCAGGCCCCCTCGCGCTGTGCAGAAGACGCGACGCGAGGTCGTTGGCAATCTTCGGCCTCGGGGGGCCCTCACCGGGCTTCGGGGCCGTCGGGAAACGACTCAGGATGACAAGCCGGTCCCGGGGTAGTGGTCCAGACCTTTGGGGGTCGTCGTTGCGAAAAAATCACGACGTCGGGGGTCTGGGTCTGGTGCGGGCCCTGAAGCGTCGCGTTGCGGGGCGGGGATCATATTTGGGGGCAGCGAGGGCTGTAGGAAAAGGGCCGCTTAGGGCCCTCAACGGGGCCCCTTAGGGGCCAGAAGTAGGGCCCGAGAGGTGCACTTTTCTTCCCCCCCCCCTCCCCCCCTCATTGGTCGCCCCCCATGGAGCGACGCCCAGGGCCCACCAGGGTCCCCCAGGCACGGCCCGCGCGCTTGGATCTTACCCACCCGCAGCCTCCTGAGGCCGCACACCGACGGCCACTCTTACCTAGGGTCACTCATGCGTGTAGCCGACCTGTGACCTCGGCTCCGCCGTGCTCTCTGGGCGATGTCCTAAGTGGCGCAGGTTCTTGTCGTGTCGACGCGGCGGCGACCCAGGCGCGGGCGCCCGAGGTTGACTTTTGCCAGTGGCCCAGAATCGGCCAGCACAGAGTGATCTGCCTATCGAACGGCAGCCGACTGTTCAAGGCTGAACGGTCAACGCGGTGTCAGAAGCCAGCGCCAGAGCCGTCATGGCACGAGCTTGCCGTGCTTGGGGCGAGTTGTCGTTGGTTAGGCGGAGGGCCCCAGGGTTTTTGTTGGCCCTTTTCTGCCTTCGGGGGCCCCTGCCTGGCCTCGAGGTGCCTTCCAGCAGCTGCGCCTCGACGAGAGCGTTCTGGCGTTCTGGGGGTGCCAGGATCGTCCCGAGCGGCCGCCTGGGGCCAGAGTTGTGAGCCGACAGCCGAATCTCCGAGGATCACCGAGCACGTTCCACTACTCGCAAAGCGCCCATTTGCAAGCGTACAAAAAACACAATGTTCGTCCAGTTGTAATGGATCGTAAGTCCCCCGCGTCGGATCCAGGCCATCTGCGAGTAGTTTCTCTGCGAGTGGTGGAGCGCGCTTGCCCAGAGGAGGCCCGCCCTGACTCCGGATCCGCCGTACTTTGGGCGGTTCCGCAAGTGGAGCGGACGGTGCCGCCCCACTTTTCCAGCTCTTCAGATGCCGATTCAAGTGGCGTACGGCATTCCGCCGACCCCCAGGAGGAGTGAGAGCCTGGAAGCTATCTTGTCAGATGCATCGGACGGTATCTCCAGATGCTTGTCGGGGGCCAGTTCTCAAGCTCCATTGATGTGGATTGCCGCCCTGCTCTGCCACCGCTGCTTCCGCCATGCCTCTGCGGAAAGAGTTGTTCTTCAGAGGCAGGAGTGTCCGCTCCATTTCTTCGCATCGTTTCGCGTGTATCGCCGACAGATCCTTGAGTCGAAAATCGACCAACGTGCGGCGGATCCGCAGTCGCGACCCCCAGCAGCTCCACGCTCGCCCCCCCCCCCCGCCATCCCTCTCCCGCCATGAGCGAGCTGGGTCCCGGTGCCGCCAGCTTCTTCGATCCGCACTTCCACATCTTGGAGAGGGAGAAAGCTGCATGGACCAGCATTTTCGGAGGTCCTCGCGGATTTCATGGATGCGCTGGACGTCGTCGTCGACGTCGTCGTCGTCGTCGTCGTCGTCGTCGTCGTCGTGGCGGCGCCTCCGGCGCCGCCCCCTGGCGTGCTCCGAGCGCCAGGGAGGGAGGATCAGCGCCGATCCAAGACATCCGCGCGGAGCTCCGAAACTTTTGGCCATGCAGATGCTTCTTCTCCTGACGTCTGGGACGTCAGCGAGTCCACGCAGTCTGGGCACGACGGGAAGATACTGTTCAAGCCAGGGGGGAAGGAGTGCTACCTCCGCAGCGACTACGAGGCGGAGTTCGCCGGGCTGCCGAGCCCCCTGCGCCACCGAGGCGGCGTCTTCGTGGAGGGCGTAAGCGTGTGCCACCCCGGCCTCTCCGGCCCAGAGTTCTCTCGAGGAACACATGCTGGCACGAGCATCAGGAGCTCCAAGGGCTCCCCCGAGGGCGCGAAGTTATTCGCGCTTCGCGCTTCGCGGTCCTCGTTCCTCCTCCCCCCTCCTCCTCGTCCTCCTTTTCTCCCTTTGGGGGGGCGGCGCGAGAGCGCGAAGTTATTCGCGCTTCGCGCTTCGCGCAGCGCGAAGCGCGAAGCTGGGAGCCCTTGTGGAGGCTGATGCCTTCGGTAGCAACTCGTGGGAGCCTGGTAGATCCTCCGACTTCCGGCTCTCGCATCGGTCAGCGTCGATTCTCGTGTCTGGGAGTCGAGGAGCTCTCGCCACTTTGGCGTCGACTCTGGCGTCGGTCAGCGCCGAATCGGCGTCGATTCGCGTCGACCAGCGTCGACGGGCGTCGGTTCGAGAGGTCCGACAGGATTGTATGGGAGGCTCTCAGGAGTTGCCACGAGAAGATACCCTCATCGGTTCCCCGGCCCTCGCTCCGCTGCCTGGAGGAGGCGAAGTTCGCCAGGTACTGCCTGTCTCGGCGGCGCGGTCCCGGGAGGGGGGGAGGAGGAGGGGGAGGAGGAGGAGGAGGAGGAGGAGGAGGAGGAGGAGGAGGAGGAGGAGGAGGAGGAGGAGGAGGAGGATGGGGGTGGGAGGAGAGGAGGAGGAGGGAGGGGGGAGGAGGAGGGGGAGGGAGGGGGGGGGGGGGGGGAGAGAAGGGGGACGGGTAGGGGGAGGAGGAGAGGAGAGAGGAGAGGCGAGGAGGAGGCGGAGGTGTGGTAGTATGGGGGAGGCACGAGGTGCGGAGGAGGAGGAGGAGGAGGAAAGGTACCCCTAAGGAGGAGGAGGAGGAGGAGGAGGAAAGGTACCCCTACCGCTGCCCTTCCCTCGTTTTGCCCTCGGTGGGCCTCCTGGGGGACTCGACGCCACCGCTGGATCCGCCCCGAAATTCTGGTCAGAGCGCACCCCCGGAGATGTCTGGGGAACTCCAGATCCGCCCTACTTTGGCTTTTTCTCCAACGTAAAATTGCGTCGGAAATCAACCTATAAGAAGCCGAAAAAGTAGGGCGGAAATTTCTGCACCCAACATAAAATAGGGCGGAAATCCACAGAAGTAGGGCGGAAACAGCAACAGAAAAGTAGGGCGGAAATTGGCATCAGCGGGGCTTGAAAAGTAAGGCGGAAATTCCAAGCCCTACTTACGAATTTCCCCAAAGTAGGGCGGATCCGAAGTCAGGGATATCGTTTCCCCAGTGAGAGGCGGCGGGCCGTCTCAGAAGGCTCGGAAGGCCTCCGGCCTTTCGAGAAGCTGTCTTAGCCTTCTCCGGAGACGCAGAACATGTCTCAGAAGGCCGGAGGGCTTCTGAGAATCCCCGCCGCCGTCTGAGAAGCCCCGCCGCCTTCCGAGAAGGCCTGCTTCTCCGACATCTGCCGATGAGATTCTTCCCATCCGCGGCCCCAGAGGTCCCGACCACTTCGCGAGGGATACATCGTGGTTGTTCGTCCCTGGTCCGTTTTTGATGATCCCAGGGCCCAGAGGCCATAAGTGGAAGAACGCCGGGATTGAAAACATCATATCGTTGGAGATTCGGGTAGTCATCGTCCCCCAGAGGCCCGGACCTTCTCCCCGGAGCTGGTTGCGAGTCCCGAGTCGTGTTCTGCACGACGGCCCCGGGGCCTGGCGGGCCCCGGGGCCCGGCGAGGGACCCCGTGAGGCCGAAAATTGTGCGAAAGACCTCCGGTTCGAGCTTCTCGAGAAGTTGGAGGTTTGGGTCCATCTCTCGGCCACGCGCAGAGGGGGGTATGGGGAAGGGGGGAAGGCTTCTTAGAAGCACCCGTGCTTCGTAGAAGGCGCGGGCCTTCTCAAAAGATGTGAGGCCGGCGCCTTCTAAGAAGCAGCCTTCTTCTAGGAAGCCTTACCTCCTCCCCCCACCCCTTTGTGCGCGCCGCCAACAAAAGACCCCACCGCTCGGAGGATGCTGAGTTCGGACGGGGCCAGGGCGAGGATAAACCCGTTCCAGGGAGTTCCAGGACGCTCTCGCAGCGTTCTGGGACGCTTCGAGACGGCCGCGGCTCCCGAGGCATCCTCCAGAGCCGCCGGATCTCAGGGATTCTCGATTTATCCTCACCCGACTTTGTCCTCGCCCTGGCTTCGTCTTAGAAGTCCGTGCGGCGTGAGCAGGAGGAGGAGGAGGAGGAGGAGGAGGAGGATTTGTTTTTGCCCTGGAGGGCTCTGGGCCGTCTTCGGCTTCGTCTTGGAAGTCCGCGCGGCGTGAGCCCGCATGCGGAGTGCCCGGTCTCCGACGGACCACTCTCCGCCTGGGCTCCTTCCGCCTGGACCCGGCCTCCCGTCTGGGCTCACTCCGCCTGGGCTCCCTCCGTCCGGGCTCACCACCCACCAAACCACCCCAACCCAACCCGAAGGCCCAAATTTATCCTCGATTTCCAGTGGGGGGGGGTCGGGGAACGTTGAAAAAACACATGGTATCCGTACCCCCCCCAACCCGAAATTCGGGTCAAATTCGGGTCTTCGGGTTGGGTTGGGGTGGTCTGGTAGGTAGTCACGGGCTCCCTCCGTCGGAGCCTCCTCGCACTTCGTGGAAGCAGGAGGAGGAGGTGGTGGTGGTGGGCGGCCATGAAGGCGGGTGCAAGATCAGAAGAGCTCGCCGTCGGAGGACGCAGACTCGTTGTCCGCTCTCCCCGCAGCCCTTCGCTGCCCGAGTTCCTTCACCCTCGGCAGCTCAGATTCAAGGATACCAAAAGCCGCAAGCACAGACGCTTGCGAGGGCAGTCCTGGACTGAAACCTTCGGCGGCAGACGAGCCCGCGCTCGCCGCCACCACCCCACTCGAGTCCACCAGTCCCTCGATCTCGGCCTGCTCCTGAGGACTCAACGGGCCAGGCGGACCGAGCACGAGGGACTTAGTGGAGGCTCTATAGTGTGGGTGCTTTCCTCCTCGGATTCGGCTTAGCTGGGTCCTGATTCCTGGGCTGGCAGGCTTCCCAAGACAACGCTCCAGGAGGGTGCGGCCCAGACGCCCCGAGGTGCAGCCCCCACACCTAAAACAAAACACGACTTTATCACCTACTCTGGTTGGCGTTTCGATCGGACACCGAACAAGAGCGTGCCGTCTAAAGTAGAAGGCGAAGCGGGCTTCGACGGCCCAGCACGGATCCACACCATCCTCCACCGCCCCAACACTCGACGACGAGACACACTCCTCCTCCTCCTCCTCCGCAGGGTCTGGCGGGGGCTCAGCGGGCTGGCCTGCGTCGAGCTCTACAAGCCCGACAGTGTCCTGCCTACTCTGCCCGCGGGAGGCCAGCAGCACTTCGAGCCTCCCAGCCCATTTCCCCTGCTCGGCCACAAGGGCCTTAAAACCCCTAAACAAATCTGCATTGGAGTCTCCCACCCCGTGCATCCTGGCCCCTAACTTCGCATACTGGTCAGCACTGGCATTGGCCTTTTTCTCCCCGAGAGAAGTGCGCCCAGCCTCTAGATCAGAACGCGTGGCGTGGGCCAGGGTCTTGTGAGCCTGGAAATCGCTCCCCTCGAATGCGGCCCAAAAAGGGCCCCACATGTGGCTCCTCGGGGACCTGGCCGCGGCGCCCGACCCTGGTCCTCCGAGCAAAACTTCTAGGGTGGCTTTGCAATCTAGATACAGCACAAACGGGGCCATACCAACTTGTGAGCATGTGCACCGCAAAATCCTCACCATCCGTGGCAGTCTGGCGAGGGCCGAAGCTGAACGGCACTGGGCCGTACGCGGCGTGCATCACGTTTCCCAGTGGGTCAACTTGCACTAACGCCCAGCCCGCCCTGCAGACCCCTGGCAGAGATGGCCGCAAGGCCGAACCGTCACTGAAGATACAGCCCGAGAGAAATCCACTGGCAGGCTTGTTCACCCACCTGATCGTGGCCTCGGGTTGCCCGCGAGGAATGAAGGCTAGGGGGCTAGGCATCACGCATCTGGCAAAACGCTCCACAGCCACATGCCAGGGGCCTGAGGCATTCCTCCTCACACTGCAGTGCGCCTGGCAGCCGTACTGCCTGTGCCACAGCGTCCCCCTGGCTTCCTTACAAAGTTGGCACAAATCCGAATGGTGCAGGCCATGCCCGTGCACCCTGGCCTGTGGCCAGTGCACATTGCATACAAGTGAGCGGAGTGCACGCTGGTGATGGGCCGTCCACAAGAGGGTCTTGCCCCTGACGAGCGCACCCAGGCCAGCCCAGAAAATCGGAAACACATCTTCGCGCCCACGGGGGGCGACTCTCCCGAGGCGCCCAACGCTTTCAAGCGCGAGCTTGTCGGACGGCCTGGCGGCCCCTTCGTGCACTAAATCTCTGACCTCGCTGGGCGACAGCTGGCGTAAGTTCCAAACAAAGCCTCGGTCGTCCCGAAGCCTCGTGCTAGTTTAAAATCCTCCAGCCAATCCTGTCCAGGGATAGAAACGCCACATTAGCAGGCGACGAGGCCGCCCTCCACGGGTGACGGAAGCGAGCCAGTTTTTTCGATGGCCGCGTGCATCGTCGCCCCCAGGATCAGCCTCGAAGGAAAATTGTCCCAGATCGCAGTAGCCCATTGGAACACCACGTGTCCCGTGTAGGCCACACGGGGATCGCTCAGGAGCCCCATCCTGAAGGAGTGGGGCCTAAGGCCCACACTGGAGCCCTTGGGGAGGCGACAGATGCACCGAGCAGCATATACACGGAGACCATACATTACGGACGGGGGGATGCCCGTCACGTTGCTGCCCCAAAGGGCCACCACGGCAGTGGCCCAGACTCTTTGGATGAGGCCGACTTCCGCCCCTGTACCTTAAAACCTGGAGCCTCCGAGCCCTAGACTTGGCACTGACGAACCTACTCCTGGCAATCCCTACTCTGCGGCATGACCCAGAGGCCGCGCCTGTGCCAAGATTCCGAGCCGTGTCCACTCGCGACGAGGGTGGGATCCGCCAGAGACCTTGGATGAGCTTGTGCACCTCGGCACTGCGTATATACTTGGTCTTTTTCACGGCCACTGGCAGGCTGAGGCGGTCGAAGCCCGTGAGCAGTGCCTCGACCCCCGAGCTGAGAACCGCAACAACTTGGATACTCTTACCACACACATGCAGGGCAATGTCGTCCACCACATTTCTGATATACAGCTGCGGTCTCCCCTCTTTGGCCTTAAGCAGGGGTCCCAAGAGAAGCAACTTAGCCAGCGTCGCCGCCCCGCTGCGCCCTGCAATGACCGACCCGTTCGCGCGCACAGTGTTGGAGACTGCGCCTCCGTACAGCAGCGTGCGAGGACAAGAATGGATAGCGCATAGGCACCGAAGCAGACGAACAGGAAACTCAAACTGAACCGCCGCCTGATACACGTCCCCGTGCCCTATGTGTTCGTAGAACTTCGACAGGTCCAGAAGAGCGGTTCCAGACTCAAACCCAACGCTACGGCAGTAACTCCCCAGAAAATTATGAACCCACCCCGCTCGCTCACACGTGGCGGTGCTGCTCACGCCCCAGAACACCTCGTCCATGTGGGCCTTCTCCCATTTTTTGAACAGCGGCTGACTGACCCTGGGCCAAATCTTCGCGAAGAAAGCCAACAGCCCTACTGGGCGGACCCCCCATCACTCTTATCCAGAAACACGATGTTAGTCATGAGCAGCAGGAGGTCTTGCGGGGCTCTCTCAAGTTGGCGCAGCACATCGACGAGCCTATCCGCGAACTCTTCGCTGAGCATGAGCACCCAGCGGGGATGGAAACCGCCCCAGCCCAACCCGCACTTCCTCGCATACCTTTTGCACGCCCTTCGGACTTGATCTCCCGAAATGGGTGGCAGCTCGGCTTGGCATGGCGGCATCGTCCACGACGACGGATGCTCGGCCCCTCGGCTTGCAGCGATCCCGAGCGGCAACCAGGCACGTAGCAGAAAACTCAACGCCTCTTGCCCGCATACTGGGCGACCCTCTTCATTGAGCAGGGGCGTGGGGCTGGACAGGGGCCTCTTCGAAAAAGCACGTGCGGCTTTACCTCCTCCTTTAACGGATCCCACCGCCCATGCTTTCCATTCCTTTAAGCTTTCCTTGGCGTCCAGCTTCCTCCTCCCGCTGACCTCCTCATCTAGCTCCCCCAGCACCTCTGAGTCCCCTTTGAGCTTGCCCTCTGAGGCGTCCCAGGCGAGCTTCTCGAGCACGGAGACCGAGATAATGCCTTCAACGGGCTATCTATCATGCGCACCAGCTTGACTCGCCAGCTGGAGAGAAACTCGCGGCCTCGACGGCCAACTGCACCTGCGGCAGAAAGACGACGGCGTTGAAGCAGGGCCTGGAACGCGACCCAAGCGGTGGTGGTCCTGGAAAACCTTCGCCTCTGATCCTTGTCCCAAAGAGCCCCCGACGGAATCTTCTGCACTCTGGGCCCTCGGGCCCTTCCCGTGTAGCACTTGGTGCCCGCACTCTCTATGCCGTGGATATGAACCAGGCGGGCCTCAGAGAGCGTGAACCACCTCTTACACAAGGGCTCCCTCGAGGGCGCGAAGTTATTCGCGCTTCGCGCTTCGCGGTCCTCGTTCCTTCTCCTCCTCCTCCTCGTCCTCCTATTCTCCCTTTGGGAGGGCGGCGCGAGAGCGCGAAGTTATTCGCGCTTCGCGCAGCGCGAAGCGCGAAGTTGGGAGCCCTAGTTACACATTTCCTCCAAGGGGAGCCCCACGTTGTTGGCGCCCAGCTCCCAGCCCCAATCGAGGTCTCCTGGAGGTTCCTGCTGGGGTCCATAGAGGTCGTGCTCGAAGCCCTCGAGCCTCACTTGCCTGAAGATCACCGCAGTGTGCGAGAGGCCCTCGAGCTCCATGAAGACTGGGCTGTGGGGATACAGCGGGGCCTCCACGAAGACCTTGAGGCTTCTGACCCTAGACATGAGGCACTCGGCCACCACGAAGTAGTCCAGGACACGGCCCCCTCCTCCAGAGATCTCAAATTCCTCCAAGCCCAGGACCTCGCCCTCCGAGATGGCCTGGGAGACTTCGTCCACGGTGCGATTTTTCGGGGCGAACGCCCCAGCACACGTCGGACCCGTAGGCGAAACCACTTCTCCCCGAACAGTCTGAAGCCACCCTGACGCGATCAGGTCTGACGGCAAAAAGTTGAAATCCCCCTGGGCGATCCAGGGCAGTGGCTGACTCAGGAGAAACTCGCCGAGCAATTGTAGCATAGCCAAGTTTGGTCCCGTCAGCTCGAGACCCGTGATGAAATGGGCTGGGACGACCAACATTCTTTGCGGAAATCCGACACTCACCTTCCGCATCACGATACGGCTCATGCAGTCGCTCAGGTGGGCCGGTGCAACGTGCTCCGACGCCATGGACTGCTGCGCAGCAACTGCCACTCCAGATGAACTTTGAGAAGGGCCTGGGCCTGTGATGCGAGCCTTCCCATGAGCAACGTGCCACCCACGCCGATTACACCAACGAGTTGCTGAGCTGACCTTGTCAGGGTTCTTCAGCCGAGTCTCCTGCACGCATAGCACATCTGGAACTTCCTCCAATCCTCCATGCCGACCGCCACGGTCCATGGGCCACTCCACCACCGTCTCCGCGGTGCTCCAGGCGTTAGCATTCATTCGGAGAGCTGAGAGCGACTTGGCTTCTCCCTTGACTTTCGGCTCTGGGTCGGGAGGCCCATCGATGACAACCTCGACCCGCCCGCCGTCGCTCTCGGCCTGGAGGGGCTCCACATGCTCGCCCTTGGCCGACACCTCTTGGAACTCCCAGCGCTGCTCTTGTAAAATTTCACCAGACACGTCGGCCGCCTCAATGTCCGATGCGACACGGCTTTCAGTCGATCCTCGAGCCACACCAGGAACTCGTTCGTCGACAATAAGATTACGATCAGGGGGCTCGATCGTCCCCCTGTCGCGTCCTGACAGTTGTTTTTTCCTGAAGCTGCGTGCAGCTCAAGGTATGGAGGAGAAATCGCGGCCCCTGAGCCGCATGCCACCCCCGAAGGTCGGTACCCTCTGGCTCCTATCCCAGAGTGGCCTGGGGGCGCTGCGCAGCGCTGCGCGCGCCTACGGCCTCCGCCGAAGGTCGGTACCCGCTAGCGCCCCAGCGGCCATCAGGTGGAGCTGAGCAGTGCGTGCCTTCGGGGGGCGTGGAACACGAGGTAGAACTAGCCGCCGCCATCCGCGATGCAGCCCATGTCCTCAAGCTTGCTCCTGCCCCCAGCCCCGAAGAGCGGGCCAGCTGGGGATGCTGAAGTGCCCTCAACGTCGCTCCTGCCCCCAACCCCGAGGAGCGGGCCAGTTGGGGAATACCTCCAGTCGCCGTAGTATTCAACGTACCCGAGCTCCTTGTGGGTTCGCGGGGCGAGCCCCCAACCCCGTTGCGACCGAGGGGGCCCACCTCGCGCGACATACTGACCTCGGTTGCCGAAGTCGCGGAACTTGAACCCGAAGCCCCTGCACATGGCCCTGACCCTCTTTGAGGGTCCGCGACCCGAGGGGGGGCAGCCTCTTGGGATTGACAGTCCTTGTCGAAGGCTCCTGCTCTCAGCGGCGGCCACTGCCGCGGGTCGAGGCCGACACCTCCCCCGACGTAGCCGAGCTGCAGAGAGTCGAACCGACGGTCATGTTGCAGCACAGGGACAGCGTAGCCCGTCGCCTGCTCCCAGGCCTCGTCGATCTTGCTCCCCAATGTGAAGGCTTCCAGGTCTGCCAGCCCCCGCCTGCTACCCACGCCGTACCTTCTTGGCCGCGTGTTCGGCCAGCAGCTTGGCCACGGCCACAGACGTGTCCCCCTCGCCGTCCATGGCTCGCTTGAGGGACTCTTGGAAGTCTGACTCCATGAAGTCGGACTCGTCCATTGGTACCGCCAAGTGCTCCCCTCCAGCATCAGCTGGCTCATCATCGGCTTGACCATCTGCGCCAGGACCATCAGGACGACCAGTGCGGCTGGCGTCGGCCTCCGCTGCCTGCTTGGCCGCTGCCGCCTCTGCTGCCGCTTGCCGCTGGAGCCCTTCGAGGACCGCAAGGGCGTCTTTGCCAGCCTGGGTTGACAGCACCGACGGTTCCAACCCCGCTGTGAGCACTTTGAGCGGGTTCTCATGCTCTCCTGCTTGAATCTTCGCCAACACCCCCTGGGCCACGACCAGGTCGGCCTTGGCCTGGGTGATGCCCTGCTTGATGGTGTCCAGCTCCTCCTCGAGGGCGCCCCGCTGCGCACAGACCTCCGTGCAGCGGGCCTCTGCCTTCTGGATCTTCTTCTTGAGGAGGAGGAGGAGGAGGAGGAGGAGGAGGAGGAGGAGGAGGAGGAGGAGGAGGAGGAGGAGGAGGAGGAGGAGGAGGAGGAGGATTTTTTTTGCCCTGGAGGGCTCTGGGCCGTCTCTTCGGCTTCCGGGGGGCGCTCTCTGGGCCCCGGGGCAGCCCACGCACGCCTCGTTGTCGGGGCGAGGCGCTGGCCCCCGGGGGAGGGCGCCCAGACTTCGGGGGGGGCCCCCGCCGCGAGGAGGGCACGGCCTCGGCCTGCCTCCGGGGGTGCCGGCGTGCCACTTTCTCGTCCTGGAGAGGCCTCGTCGCCACGCGCCACGCCCAGCACGCCACGGGCTTTTTCTGTAGGGGGCCACAGGCGAACCCTACCCTTCTGAGGGGGAGGGTGGGGTTCACTTCGTTTGGGAGCTCCCGAACGAAGTGAACCCCACCCTCCTCAGAAATCGTGGGGGGTAGGGGTCGGGTTCGCACGTGGCCCCCTACTCTGGTGAGAGCGCACCCTCGGAGAGGTGCGGCGAGGGGCGGCAGCGGCGTCTCTCTGCCCTCCCCTCGCCCAGAGCCCCTCGCGGGCGCGCCGCCGACGGTCCACCGCCGCGGGGGAGGCCGTGTCGTACCTGCTGGTTCCCACCTGCGCTCTGGAGCAGCCCGCCGGCGGCCGGCCGGGCTCGTCGCCAGGGCCCCGGGGGGGGGGCGCCCACGGGGGTCGGCCGATCGCACCGCAGCAGGAGGAGGAGGAGGGAGGAGGAGGAGGAGGAGGAGGAGGAGGAGGAGGAAGAGGAGGAGGAAGAGGAAGAGGAAGAAGAAGAAGAAGAAAAAAAAGAATAATAATACTAATAATAATAATAATGATAAGAAAGAGAAGAAGAAGCAGAAGAAGAAGAAGAAGAGGCGGAGGAGGAGGAGGAGGAGGAGGAGGCGGAGGTCCTGGGAGGGCCCGCCTGGCCGCTCCCACGGCCGAGGCCTCCCAGAGGAGGTCTGAAGGTCGGCGCGTCGCCGCCGTGGGGCCCGATCTTCTCCCCAGGGGCGCCGCGCATCGCCGGTGCGTCGGCGTCGGGGCTCAAGAGACGTCAGAGCCCCGAATCATCAGGGGTAACTCGGGTCAGGGATAACTCGGGTTCGCTTTTCGGGAATCCAAACCCGAGTTATCCCGGACCCGAGTTATCCCGGATAACTCGGGCGTCCAAGAGCCCCGAATCATCAGGGGTAACTCGGGTCAGGGATAACTCGGGTTCCTTTTTCGGGAATCCAAACCCGAGTTATCCCGGACCCGAGTTATCCCGGATAACTCGGGCGCCCAAAGACGGGGGTCCGTGCAAGCGGAGGTCAGCCAGAGCGCCGGCTCTTGCAGGATCCTGCGGAGCTGGGGGTGCACTGGCCTGGGCTTGTTTCGGGGGAGCGTAAGACCCGGGTTTGCCGGGACTCGGGTTCGCCATCGTTTTTTGACGACCGCGATTCGGATTTTGACGAGGAGGAGTTTCGTGGGATGTCTGCAGCGGGAGGCCTCGTCAAAATGCAGGCTCGGCCTCGTCATTTTTTTGACGACCTCGTCGGGGATTTCCGAGTCCCCCGTACCCGGGTCTTACGTCTCCCCGATTGTTGCCGCAGGGTCCTGCAGGACCACGCAAGATCTTGCAAGATCCTGCAACGCCTGACTGACCTGGGTTTGCACTGACCCCGGTCAGTGCGCGTCCCCGACTCGGCCACGCGCAGAGGGGGGCAGGGGAAGGGGGGAAGGCTTCTTAGAAACACCCCTGCTTCCAAGAAGCCCTCCCCCCTCCCCCTACCCCCTACCCTACTTCTACGCGCCGCCAACATTCAGGAGGGGAAAAAACACAGACACAATGAATCGTCGACTCCCCAGAAAGTATAGGAACATATGGGAAGTGGGGGGAAGACAAACACCCATAAGATATGGGAAACCATGGGGAACAGTTTTGTTTGTGTGTATTTATGTGTGTGTCCTGGGGCCCCTTCGAGCATCTGGGAGACCGCTCCCAGGGGGGTCAGCCCCTGGCCCTCGTCGGCGGAGGCTACGGTAGGTTCGCGTCGTGTCGACCGGCGGCGACCCCAGCGCGGGCGTTCAAGGTTGAACGCCGGCGGCGGCCCAGAATCGATCGATGTTGAACGATTGGACGTTGCGGAGACGGCCGATCGTTCAAGGTTGAACGATCCCCTGCGGTGTCAAAAACCAACGCCGGGGTCGGCACGACGCGAACCTGCCGTAGCCTCTCTTGACAGGAGCCCAGACGTGCGACGTCCTGCTTTTTTTTCAACACGCGGTCCCTCGACGTCCCGACCCTTTCCCCGGAACCGGCTTTCCATCCTGAGTTTGGGCGTGGCTTCATGGGGGGGACATAAAAGGGGGGGTCAGAAACGGTCCCCTTTCGTGCCCCTTTCGGGCCCCTCCGGACCCCCAGGGGGCTCGTTTAGGTACCGTTTGGGTACCTTTTCGGACCACCCTCGCCACCCCCCCATTTATGACCCCTCCATTACGCAACGCCCAATGAGTTGTTTCTTGACGGCCCCTGGGCCCGGCCAGGGCCTCCAGGGGCCGAGCATGGCGAAACGTGTCCGTCCTGAGTTTTTTGTTTACGACGCGATCATGTCTGGAGGGCAGAGTCCATGCGGAGATGGTCCAGACGGCGCGCTCGGTGTCCGCTCGGGCCTGCATTCAAGACGCTGCAGCACGGACCGCTCCGGGTTCGGAGGGGGCGCGCTGCTCCTGGGGGCACTCCGTGCTCGTTCCTGCGGCCCTCCTCGTGCGCCGGGGCGCTGCTGGGGCCGAAGAGGGGCTTCGTCCCCTCTTTAGCGTTTCTTCTGGTAGTCGACAGGAAAACCAGAAGTCAGGGAACAAAACCATGTTTTCTTCTGTATTGGGTTTGCGTCTATCTTAGGTCTTCGGTTTTTCAGTCTTCCTAACGAGCAATGACACGAACATAATAGCTCGGAGGTCTGCGCGGATTTCTCGGATCGGCGCTGGGGCCCCCTGGCGGCGCCCCCGGCGCCGCCCCTGGCGCGCTCCGCGCGCCAGGGAGGGGGGTCCAGCGTGGATCCAAGAAGTCCGTGCGGACCTCCGAGTTCTTATGTCTATGTAATTTGTCGTTCCCCTAGTCGTACCTCGACTGTACTCCGTATGGACTGACCTCGGAAGAGGTGGGCAGAAACATGAAGTTAGGAAGGCGGTGAAAGTAGATTGGGCTTCCGCCCGCCTCCTGAAGAGGAGGGCAGACGGGAAACCACCCGATCAGTGTAGTAGGATGGCGCCTAGAGCCAAGGAAAGACCTACTTTTAACGACCGACGGGTACTCCGTCTGAACGGACCAGCCCCCAGCCCTCAAGAATCGGCGGCGAGCGAGGGGGGGAAATACGAAGGATAAGGCCTTCTCAGAAGGCGGCGGGACCTCTCAGATGCCTTCGCGCCTTCTGAGAAGTTTTCAGTGTCTTCGGAGAAACTGCTTCGAGTTTCAGAAGGCCAGGGGACTTCCGAGCCTTCTGGAAAGGCCCGCCAATTTCTGCTGGTGGTTTCCGGGCCATGACTCGAGCCTCCAGGGAGGGAGGAGGGCGGAGGAGGAGGAGGAGCAGGAGGAGGAGGAGGAGGAGGAGGAGGAGGAGGAGGAGGAGGAGGAGGAGGAGGAGGAGGAGGAGGAGGAGGAGGGACGGAGGAGGAGGAGGAGGAGGGAGGAGGAGGAGAGGAGGAGGAGGAGGAGGAGGAGGAGGAGGAGGAGGAGGAGGAGGAGGAGGAGGAGGAGGAGGAGGAGGAGGAGGAGGAGGAGGAGGAGAAAGCCCTCGACGAGTCGCGGCTGCTGGACCAAGTCCCGAGGTTGGTGTCCCCCCCACGGGCGCGGCGCCTACAGGAGCAGGAGCTCCTTCTCACCTCCTCCTCCTCCGCCTCCGCTTCCTCCTCCTCCTCCTCCTTTTCAGCGAACCCTTTCAGTGAGGGCTCTGGGGCGCGCCGACGGGCGGCGCGCCGTAGCCCGTCAGTCCGACGGCCTCAGGTGGGCGCCGAACTCGTCCTTCTCGACCTTCTTTGCGACGGACGCCCCTCCTTTGCTCGCGAGCTGAGGGGCGTCCGACCTTTTCTTGCCGCGAGGCAGCTCGGCTGAGCTGGCGGCCCCCGTATGTTACACGGGGGGCGGGCCGCACCCCCCTTCGGCCCGAGGGCTGGGGACGGCCTCGCCGCGGCGCACGGTGCGCCGCATCCTTCTCTTGGCGAGTCCTCCTTTCTGAACGCGTTCGTGCTGGAAACCGCTTCTGAGGACCCTGCTCCTGTCCTCCTTTTGGGCGACCTCCATGCGTTCACGCCCCTCAGAGCTGTTGAGGACCCTGCTCCTGTCCTCCTTTCAGCTGGCATCGTAGTGGGTTCGTCCTGCCGCGCTGCTGAGGACCCTGCTCCTGTCCTCCTTTCAGCGGGCAGATCACGTCGAGATGGTGGTCGTGGTTGGTGGGGCGGAGGTGCTGGAGTGGATTGTCTTTGCACCGCCGCGCAGCTGAGGACCCTTCTCCTGTCCTCCTTTCTGCGGGCAGTCATGCTGGAGGCCGATTCTGAGGACCCTGCTCCTGTCCTCCTTTTCGACGTCTTCCAGGCATGCTCGTCAAGCCTCGCTGCTGAGGACCCTGCTCCTGTCCTCCTTTCAGCAGGCTCCGTCTCGATTGCGCAATGCCGCGCTGCTGAGGACCCTGCTCCTGTCCTCATTTCAGCGGGCAGGTTGTGTCGAGGTGGTAGTTGTTGGCGGGGTGATGGTGGCGGGGTGGGTGGTCGGTCGGGGGTGAGCCCCAGGCGTTGTGGTTGATAGTCATGCGTGCCTCTAGGCAAGGTCGTTGGGAGGTCGGATAGTTGCTGGGGTTGTGGTATGGGTTATGGGCGCACTCGTGAGGCCTCCGTGCACCGACTTCAAGTGGGGTTCGTGGCGGCCCCACCTCGCCCCGCTATGGCTAGGGGTCACGGTGCCCTCGGTGGGGGGCGAACCCCAGGCCTGGTGCTTGCTTCTGTTGTCGGTGAGGGATGTCTCGGCTGCCCTCAGCTTCGCCCCTTGGGCGATCGGGTAAGCTCCACCTTCGCCATGGGGATGGTTGGGGGTGGCGAGCTAGGGCGGACCGCGGGGGGCGCGGGTAGTGGCCGTCCTACCCCCCCCCTGCCCCTCACCATCCCCCCTGGTAGGCGCGGGCAGTGCTCGTCCTGCCCCCCAACCCTTCGAGCCCGTCTCGAAGTTTGATCCTTGCCTCGCCAGGGCAGCGTTGACTTGTGGGGTGGTGTGGCGTGCCGTCCTTTGGGTCGTGGGTGGTGGTTGGTCGGCGGTGCTTGGCGAGAGTAGAGGTCGTGTATCGTCTGGCTTGCTGGTAACCGCTGAACTTGTACTCATGCGATCGCTGCCTTCGCCAATACTACAAAGCGTGGCGGCTTGTGCCTGGGGTGTTCCCACGCATTCGGGGCTCCCCCAGGACTTGCGTCCTAACGCCTCCTGCAAAACGTGGCGACGCTGCCTGAGGTGTTCCCACGCACCCGGGGCTCCCTCAGGACTTGCGTCCTGACGCCTTTGTGCTTGTCGTCGAAGGTGCCCGTCGTAGCGATCATCCTCGGCGGGAGGCGGCACTTCGTCTTCTCGTTCAATGTATTACGCATCGTTGGTGTTCAGGTTTTGGCTGGTCGGCGCAGCGGTTGCGGTTCTGAGGCCCCATCTAGCCATTATGTTGCCGTCGAGCAGGTCGGCGATGGCAAAATCGATTTCCTCTGCGCTTGTTGTGGTCATTATGTTGCGGAGGTCGTCGCGGGTGCCGTTGTCGAGGATCTGTGTGGCGCCGAGGTCGTAGTGATTGGTCGAGGTCTCGTTGACCGTCGTCTGGTTGGCAATGTGCTGATATTCGGGAGTCTGCCTGCAGGTCGACTCTGCCGAGATGGCTGCGACGAAGGGGGCGTGGGTTGTGGTCGCCGCGAAGTGCATCCGCAGGACCTCTCTTGTGACGTTGTTGGCGGCGAATATCTCGTCGGCGATGGTCTCGGAAACTTGAGGCAGTCCCCAGGGTGCCTCAGGGGCGCGCCGCCTGCTTGCTCTGCTGCCCAGAACGTCGCTTACATCGTGTAGGTACCAGGTCCGTCGTGGGAACTCTACGTAGATGGCCGCTATCTCGCCGTGTAGGGTCCTTCGTTGTACTCGCGGAAGTTCTGGTATTGGTTCTGAAGTCTGGCCGTCGCTGTGGATTGCGATCTGAGTATAATCCAATCCGCTGGTTCTCGTGATCCCGCTGTTGGCCATGATCTGCTGGAGGTCGGCGGCCTGTCGACGGCGGTCGGTGATGAAGACGACCTCTTGGCGCTCGGCTGGTCTTGCAGGCGAGCTCGCGGGTGGCCTGCTTGGCGATGATTCGAGTCTGGCGAATACTTTCGGTGTGACGGGCGACGTCTCGAGGAGCGGCAGCGGCGTAACGTCGCACGGGTGGGCTGGCTTGTCGCTGAAAGTTGGGTGCCGTCCTTGCGTCTTGTTGGTGTTTGTGGCCTCGGCGATGGCGGTGAAGTTCTCTGCTATCTGCTGCTCCGTCAGGGGCTCCATCGTCTGGAGGTGCCAGGCGTACCAGGATTTACGGCAACGGTGAGCCACCGATAGGTGCTTGATGAGCTTCGGGAGAGAGTGGTGCTCGGTCTGGCAGCATCGGCATGCGGTGCCAGTGGCCCAGAAGCGCGGGTCCTCGTGGTCTGGATGATCCCTGCCCATATGGATTGCCATGCCTTGCCTGGTGGCGACTCGGCCGCAAGCGTAGCAGACGTACTTCAGGTTGTTGGTGTCGTCGCGGAGGTCGAACTCTTCAGTTGGGTTTGCTGCGGGGATCATCTGGATGTCCTTCTGGAGCTTGGCGCCCTGAGCTTGGTCACGAATGTGGTGAATGTAGGCCTTCACCGCTGCCTTGACTGCGTTGGTGAATAGCTTCGGCTTCTGTCGGGCCCAGTTGATGATGTCACGATCGTGCTGGGTTTGGCTGGGCCACCTCTCTCGTGGTAGGTACATCCGTAGGAAGTCGAAGTCTTTCTTGAGCTGGCGGCTCCAGGTGCCCTTTCGTTGGCGCTGGCCGTCGAGGAGCTGGAGTAGAACTGCTGGAGCGTGATTCAGGAGTCTTGGTAAGTATCGTAGTCGTGCTGTCGTCTGGTGAGTGATGAAGTCGGGTACTCCTGTCTTGGCGATAGCCTCGGCTTCGGAAATGTGCTGGCCAGGTGAGTTGGTCTTGGGTAGCGAGGCTGCCACACGGCATGGGCCCATGTACTTGGCGGATATGTGCTTTAGGTCCTTCAGAGTCAAGTCGGCGGAGGATCTGCTTCTCGAGAGGCCGGGCTGCACCGAGCGCGCGGTTGACCCTTAGGCAGATTTCTGGCCCCATGACCCCGCCCGCCGCGATGATGGTACCAAGGGCTTTCTGCTGCATTACTAGCTGCACCTTGATCGAGAGTCCGTCCAGTTCGAGGTATGTGATGCCCTCCTTGGCGATGCGCTGTTTCTCCTTCTTGGCACCCGCGCCGTAGTGCATGAGGATGGCCTTGGTCTTGTCGGGGTGTGGCTTCAGGCCATGCTGGAACGCTGCTGTGCAGAGCCTGGCAGCGGCCATAGTTGTCGTGTTGATCAAGTCGCTGGCGTTTGCGGTAGAGTTGTAGTCTGTGAGGTCATCGACGAAGGACATGTTCCTGAGCACGCTTCCTTCGTGAGGGGTCGGCGAGAAGAGTGGGTCGCTGCAGGCCTCGATCACGTGTCCACCTGTCGGCTGGCCGTGGGCCTCTTCCTCTCGGACTGCCTGGTCGATTGCCCTCAGCATGATGGCGAAGTGGATGTTGAAGGCTACGTCCGAGTATGGCATTCCAGGTCGGGTGCTGGTCCGAGGTAACTGGTAGTGCCTTGCGCTCTTGGCTGTCATCCAGTTGATGGTGTGGTGATCTGCGATCATGTGGCAGGAGGAGGAGGAGGAGGAGCAGGAGGAGGAGGAGGCGGAGGAGGAGGAGGAGGAGGAGGAGGAGGAGGAGAGGAGGAGCAGGAGGAGGAGGGGAGGAAGAGGAGGAGGAGGAGGAGGTAGAGAGGAGGGAGGAGGAGGGAGGAGGGAGGAGGAGGGTAGAGGAGGAGGGAGGAGGAGGAGGAGGAGAAGGAGGAGGAGGAGGAGGAGGAGGCTCCCCCGGAGAAAGCCCTCGACGAGGCGCGGCTGCTGGACCAAGTCCCGAGGTTGGTGTCCCCCCCACGGGCGCGGCGCCTACGGGAGCAGGAACCCCTTCTCACCTCCTCCTCCTCCTCCTCTCTCTCCTCCTCCCTCCTCCTCCTCCTCCTCCTCCTCCTCCTCCTCCTCCTCTCCTCCTCCTCCTCCTCCTCCTCCTTCCCCCCTCTCTCCTCTCCTCCTCCTCCTCCTCCTCCTCCTCCTCCTCCTCCTCCTCCTCTCTCCCGGGGTGCGTTCTGACCAGAATTTCGAGGCGAATCCAGCGGTGGCGCGACGAGGGCCTCCCAGGAGGCCCAAGAGAGGGCAAGATGAGGGAAGGGTTGCGGCATGGGCATCTTTCCTTCCTCCGACTCTTTTCCCCCCGGGCTCGCCGCCGGGTCTGGGCTTATTCCGTCTGTCTAATCCTCCTAGATGGGGTCCGAGGAGATGTGGTCGGAGGATCACGCCGCATCGCCGATGCACCGCCGAGGCTGCTCGATGCGGAGCCCGATTTTACCCACGCCGACGGCACCGATGCATTGCCGAGGCATCGCCGATACATCGGCGGTGCATCGGCGATGCAGCGCGATCCTCCGACCCCATCTAGGAGGCCTCTAGTCTGGACGGATAATCCCCCGGGCCGTGACGTCCATAGACACTTTCGGGGTGGATGCGTCTAGGAACAGCGTGACCGTTGCGTTCGGCGCGGTGCAAGGTCGGAGACAGGGCAGATCCGTCCACGGTAGGTTCCTGTTCCAGGGAAAGGTCCCTCTTGGTACTCCAAGTCTGGACGGACCATCTCCCGGGCCCTCGCCACGAAGGGCGGCCCGAGCGGCCGCCGGAGCGGCCCGACGCCGCGGAGGTGCTGAGGGAGCTCGCCAGGAGCCCGGCCACCCGGGGCGTCAGGCCGGGCAGCGGCCGGGGGGGGGCGGCGCGGCTCCCTTCTTGGAGGGTCGAGGGTCGAGGGTCGAGGAGGAGGAGGGGGTGGACGACGAGGAGGAGGAAGAGGAAGAGGAGGAGGAGGAGGAGGAGGAGGAGGAGGAGGAGGAGGAGGAGGAGGGAGGAGGGCGGAGTAGGAGCAGGATGAGGAGGACGAGGAGGGGACGGAGGGGGAGGGCGAGGACGATGACTAGGTCGAGGAGGAGGAGGAGGAGGAGGAGGAGGAGGAGGAGGAGGAGGAACCCTACGATCATGGCGTCGCATTTTTTCGTAACTGGCGATTTGGCCTTGTCTTTCTGGCGCGAAGCATGTAGCAGAATGATGGGGTCTTACTTTGGGTCCAGGGCCCCAGCCGTGATGTTCGCGATGTTGCATTTTTTCGCAATGCTGATTTCAGGGAAGGGGGAGGGGAGGAGGAGGAGGAGGAGGAGGAGGAGGAGGAGGAGGAGGAGGAGGAGGAGGAGGGAGGAGGAGGAGGGGAGGAGGAGGAGGGGGAGGAGGAGGAGGAGGCGGGGAGGAAGGAGGAGGAGGAGGAGGAGGAGGAGGAGAGGAGGAGGAGGAGGAGGAGGAGGAGGAGGAGGAGGAGGAGGAGGAGGAGGGGGGGGAGGGGGAGGGGAGGGGGAGGGGGGGGGGAGGGGGGAGGAGGGGAGGAGGGGGGAGGAGGGGCAGGAGGGGAGGGGGGCGGAGGAGGAGGAGGAGGAGGAGGAGGAGGCGGGGGCGGAGGAGGAGGAGGAGGAGGAGGAGGAGGAGAGAGGACGGAGAGGACGCGAGGAGGACGAGGAGGCGACGAGGAGGAGAGGAGGAGGAGGAGGAGGAGGAAGGAGGAGGAGGACACGAGGAGGACGAGGAGGAGACGCAGAGGAGGAGGAGGAGGAGGAGGGGAGGAGGACGAGGACGAGAGGCAGGAGGCGGAGGAGGAGGAGGGGGGGGGAGGGGAGGGGGAGGAGGGGAGGGGAGGGGGAGGGGGAGGAGGAGGAGGAGGAGGAGGAGAGGGAGGAGGCGGAGGAGGAGGAGGAGGAGGAGGAGGAGGAGGAGGGGAGGAGGAGGAGGAGGAGGAGGAGGGAGGAGGAGGAGGAGGAGGAGGAGGGGTGAGGGGGGAGGAGGAGGGGGAGGAGGAGGAGGAGGAGAGGGGGAGGGGGAGGAGGAGGAGGAGGAGGAGGAGGAGGAGGAGGAGCGGAGAGGGGAGGAGGGGAAGGAGGGAGGAGGAGGGGGAGGAGGAGGAGGAGGAGGAGGAGGAGGAGGAGGAGGAGGAGGAGGAGGGGAAGGAGGAGGAGGAGGAGGAGGAGGAGGAGGAGGGGAAGGAGGAGGAGGAGGAGGAGGAGGAGGAGGAGGAGGATACCGATGCCGCTGCTCTTTCCTGACCGCCACGGTTCGATTCGCTCAAAATCTTGGTCAGAACGCATTCGAGGAGGGGAGCAGCGGTATCCGTACCCTTTTGCCCCGCAAGATACGGAGGGGAAGGATGGCGTGGACGAGAAGGCGGAGACGGAAGGGGGGCAGGAGGAGGAGGAGGAGGAGGACTCCAGGGCTCCAGCAGTTTGGGGATACACGAGTTCAAGCTCACACCCACCTCAGTCCACAAAACAAGGACAATCAGGGAACAGCGGGGAAGGACATACCGTACTTGGGGGGTTTGCCTTTCGCCAGCCGCTCAAGGTTTCGACGACCTGTGGTCGTCGGTTCAGGAGGGCAGGGCAGCGAGAAAGAGAGAGGGCGAGAGAGAGAGAGAGCGATGGAAAAAACTAATTATGACGAGGGCGAGACAGAGATAAAGAGAGAGAGAGAGAGAAATCAAGAAAGAGAGACCGACACAAACAAATACATAAGTCGACAGGGTGAACGAGAGAGAGAGAGAGAGAGCGAGAGAGAGAGAGAGAGAAATAGATAACACACATCAGACACCAGACCAGAAAGGGAGAGAGAGAGAGAGAGAGAGAGGGAGGAGGAAGTAGGGGGAGGAGGAGGAAGAGGAAGGAGGAGGAGGAGGAGGAGGAGGAGGAGGAGGAGGAGGAGGGGGAGGAGAAGGATGAGGAGGAGAGGAGGAGATGAAGAGAAGGAGGAAGACGGAGAGGAGGAGTAGGTGGACGAGGAGGAAAAGGAGGATGGAGGAGGAGGAGGAGGAGGAGGAGGAGGAGGAGGAGGAGGAGGGGGAGGAGAGAGGATGAGGAGGAGAGGAGGAATGGAAGAGAAGGAGAAGACGGAGAGGAGGGTAGGTGGACGAGGAGGAAAAGGAGGATGGGGAGGAGGAGGAGGAGGAGGAGGAGGAGGAGGAGGAGGAGGAGGAGGGGATGGTGTTGGAGGAGGAGGAGGAGGAGGAGGAGGAGGAGGAGGAAAAAAAAGACGAGCACGAGGACGAGCACGCGGACGAGGAGGAGGAGGAGGAGGAGGAGGAACAGGAGGAACAGGAGGAGGAGGAGGAACAGGAGGAGGAGGAGGAACAGGAGGAGGAGGAGGAGGAGGAGGAGGAGGAGTTAGAAGAGGACGAGGACGAGGATAAGGAGGGGAGCTGGGCCGTGGACGATGAGGCAGATCCTCAACTTCGAGCCGAACTGGCCGAGGAACGGGGCGCTGGGCGACCTCCTGGACAGCCCGCAGTGGCGCGAGGCCCGCTCTTCCCCCGGGCGGGGTGGGTGCCGGAGCCGAGGGGTTTGGGCGCTCTTCGGGGATCGAAGGAAGGCGGGGGGGGGGAGCATGGAGGAACATGGAGGAACATGGAGGAACATGGAGGAACTGGAGGAGGAGGAGGAGGAGGAAGAAGAAGACTCATGAGGCCGCGGTCAAGCACAAGACTCATCAGCGATGCTGTGATGGACAGTTCTCCCACGTCTCCCTTTTCATACGGTTCTCTGAGGGTTTATTTCCGCTGCGGGGAGAGCCCCGTTGGAAGACATCTGCCTGAAAATCTTCCACCGTGCCAGAGCACAAATCCTGCGACTTCGACGCCGCGAATCAACGTTATTGCTGCGACCTGGCAGCCGTTTTTGAATGTACTGTGTCGCCGATCGGCGATGGCCCCTTTCCCCTGGGCTGCTTTGGGCGGCTGGTTTTGGCGACTGGTCAGGACCCCTCTCCCCCTGTCCGTTTGGGCGTCTGGTAGAAGCAGATCGACCCACATTCCCCCCCCTCCCCACCCTTCAGCCACAGGTCGAAACCCATAACAAAAGAAACGCCGACCTGACGACCCTGAATCGTGCCAAAACACCGCTTCTGGGACGTCGACACTGGGAGTCAACGTGACCGTCGCGACCTGACAATCCTAAATCGTGCCAAGACACACTTTCTGAGACGAGAACCATCAGAATCCTTGAAACTACTGTGAACTGTTGACACGACTGTGCGCGTCGCTAGGGCGAGAATCGCAGTCTGAAAAGGAGCCGCCTTCCATCTATGAAGCTCTTGCAATTTTGAGACGCATGCGCGCGGCGCTATGGCGAAATAAACATGTTAAACGCAGCGCTCCCTGAATTCATGAAACTCTTACAAGCTTCAAACAACCAAGGTGCACGGCGCTACGGCGAAACAACATGTTCTAAACCGCGCGCCCTCGATCCGTGAAACTCTTACCAGCTTTTATCAACGAAGGTGCACGGCGCTAAGGCAGTATCCACATTTTAAACACGACCCGCCCTCCATCCGTGAAGCCCGTGCTAAGTTTAAAACGAATGCGCGCGGCGCTAAAGCGAGAGCCTCATTCTGAAAACGACCCGCCATCTGTGAAGCTGTTGCAATATCAAGCTTCAGGATCATACATGGTAAGGCTGTCTCAGGCGAAACGCCCCGCCCGCGCTACCGACCCGCTTTAGGGTGCAACAGGGAGGAGTCAATTATAAGGAAGAGGATGGAGGAGGAGGAGGAGGAGGAGGAGGAGGAGGAGGAGGAGGAACGCCTCCGTTGAGGTCGCATGCAGTGATCCTGGGCCCAAGATGGGTCCGACCATCATCGGCGAGGTGGTCCAGTGGCGTCCCTGGAGCGAGGGGAGAGGAGCGAGGAGGAGCGAGGGGAGAGGAACGAGAGGAGACGAGCGGGGAGGACGAGGAGGAGGAGGAGCGATCCTGGAGCGAGGAAGAGGCCGAGCGAGGGGGGAGGAGCGAGGAGGGTGGAGCGAGGGGGGAGGAGCGGGGAGGAGGAGGAGCGAGGGGGGCGAGGAGCGGGGAGGGAGAAGAGCGAGGGGGGAGGAGCGGGGAGGAGGCGGGGCGCGAGGCATAGGAGCGAGAAGGGGGGATGGCGAGCGCCGCGGGCGGCGGGCGTCGCAGAGCAAGCGGCGCTCGCTGCCCTGCTCCTACAGCAGTGACAAAAACAGCGTCTCGGTTGGAGTAAAACCCTTCCTTCGCCAAGGGCTCCCCCGAGGGCGCGAAGTTATTCGCGCTTCGCGCTTCGCCGTCCTCGTTCCTCCTCCCCCTCCTCCTCGTCCTCCTAATCTCCCTTTGGGAGGGCGGCGCGAGAGCGCGAAGTTATTCGCGCTTCGCGCTTCGCGCAGCGCGAAGCGCGAAGTTGGGAGCCCTTGCTAAACTGAAGGCCCGCCTCTCGCCGTGGATTTAAACACCGATAGGTCTTGCAAGTCTCCGGGGCCCCTCTCCGGGCTCCGGGACCGCCGGAACACGGCTCGGGAGGAGAATCCGGTCTCGGGGAAGGGGTCCAGACCTTTTGGGGCCCACGCTGTGGAGCTCGGGAGCGTCCGAGAGGGGGGTGATGACCAGGAGGCGGAGGCCATCACGGCGGGGGCCCTGATGTCCCCCCTGCTCTCAGGGCCCCGCTTCTCTGTCAATACGTCCGTCGGCTTGGTCCCACCTCGTCCCAGCATGTGCCTCGGGTCATGATTTGCGGCCCCCTCTTTTGGGACGCCCCGCTCTGGGACACCCAGAAAACATGACGTCGGGGGTCCGGGAAGGACCCCACGTGTTCCTCTCTTAGACAGTGTTTTGTTTTTAGGGACGCCCCTGCGGAGTGGCGGGCGAGCTTGGGCATGTCGGGCCATGTGGTGCACGACTTATTCGGCGCGGCTACATCCCCCCTTTAGAAAAATCCGCGCGCGCGCAGTGCACGTGTACCCGCCTGGAAGCACCTCTAGCTCTTCGACGGGCCGGCACATCCCGAAGAACTTCGCGCTCCGAGCGTCGGTGCGGCTACGTCCCTCCTTAAAAAATCCACGCGCGCGCAGTGCGCGTGTACTCCTCTGGAGGTTCGACGGGCCTGCTCCGGCACACCCCGAAGAATTCCGCGCGCCGAGGGCTCCAAAGGCCGCGCGCGGGCGTCTCCTCCCGTTCCTCCTGCCTCCTCCTCTCCCCTGCCCGTCTTCCTCCGCCTCCTCCTCCTCCTCCTACTCTTCCTCCTCCTCTTCCTCCTCTTGCTCCTCCTCCTCCTCCTCCTCCTCCTCCTCTTTCTCCTCTTTCTCCTCCTCCTCCTCCTCCTCCTCCTCTCTTTCTCCTCTTTCTCCTCCTCCTCCTCCTCCTCCTCCTCCTCCTCCTCCTCTCAGCTCACTTCGCACGTGTCCCCTGCGTGCCGCAACTGGCTCCGCCTGCGTTCCAGCGTGGCTGTGCCCGCAACTTGGAGCCGAGGCGCCGCGGGTCCAGCACGTACTCTTCGAGGGGATATGCTGGCACGAGCGCGGGGCGCGGTGCTAGCAATCCGAGACGCCGCCGATCGAGCACATATTCTTTGAGGGGGATCTACTGTCACCACTGCGGGGCGTGGTGCTGGCAGTTCGGACGCCTCGCTGCGCTTGCCGTCCGTCGGAATAGGTACACACTTCTCGCCAGAAGGGCCCATTCTCCCCTCACCAAAGCACCCCTGGTGAGTGATGGTGCGCTTTTCGTGTTCCAGGATTCGGGCCGAGTTCGCGATGCGATGCCGACTTGTCCCCCCGTTGCGAGGGCTTCGGGCTTCTGAAGACGGTGGGCTTCAGCTTCGACATGCAGCTCAACCCGCCTCAGTACCAGAAGGCAGTCGCACTGCTGAAGGAGTCGAGGGCTGATGGGGGAGGAGGAGGAGGAGGAGGAGGAGGAGGAGGAGGAGGCGGAGCCAGGAGGATTGGCTTTCGATTTTGCAGGATCCAATGCTTGTGGAAATGTGCTGCATACTTCGGACGGGGGGGAGGCTTTGACTGGCGACCTCGGGAGGCCGAGGCTTCCGGAGGCCTCCCTAGAACCTCCGGGGATTTCCCGTGACTATTTTGGAGGAAGAGGGAGGCGAGAAGCGGGAAATGGTAGGAGAAGGTGAGGAGGAGAAGGAGGAGGAGGACCAGAGTCGTCAACGATGTTGGAATCAACTCTCCCTCCAAGCTCCCTCTTCATAGGCCTCTACAAGGGTTCATTTCCACTGGGGGAACTGCCTCGTTTGGAGACGACTGTTTGAAGACCCTGAAGCATGCCAGAACACTGTTCTCGGGACTCCAACGTAATGCCACGGATAAACCTGAGTTGCGTCTAGACGATCCTGAATCGTGCCAGAGCACCGTTCTTGGAATTTCAAAACCGCTAAGCAATGAACCCTCACAATCCTGAATCCCTCCAAAACACCATTTCTGGGGCGTTGATCATGGGAGTCCGTGGAACTCTTGTAATTAAAATAACGAGTGTGCGCGGCGCTAAGGCGAGAACAACATGTTGAACACCAACCGCCCTCAATCCGTGAAGCTCCTGAGTTTGTTTTAATCGAATGTGCGCAGTGCTAATGCGAGGGCCACATTTTGAAAATCAGCCGCCCTCAATCCGTGAAGCTCCTGCAATTTGTAAAAACGAATATGTGCGCGGCGCTAAAGCGAGAGCCACATGTTGAGAACCAACCGCCCTCAATCCGTGAAACTCTTGTGATTTGTTAGAACGAAAGTGCGCAGTGCTAAGGCAAGAGCCACATTTTGAAAACCACCCGCCCTCCATCTGCGTAGCTGTTACCATTTTTTAGCTTCAGGGTCATAAGTGGTGAGGAAGTTTCATGCGGAACGCCCGGGCCCGCCCTTTCGACCAGCCTCGGGGTGCGACAGGGAGGATTTACTTGTAAGGAAAAGGACCAAGGAATGGAGAAGGAGGAGGAGGAACAGTGTGTAACCATTTGCGATCCGGTTATAGGAGGAGGCGGGGGAGGAGGAGGAGGAGGAGGAGGAGGAGGAGGAGGAGGAGAGCAGGAGGAGGAGAGCTGGATGAGGAGGGACGAGGGGCCAGAGTGAAGCCAAAACGTGCTATGGATGCCGCAGTACCGTCCCGTCCCGTGCCGCCTTCGCATAAGAAGTCCTCTGCAGCCGTTCGCGCCCGCTGCGGGACGTGCCCCCTGTGGTCAGACGAATTCACCTTAGGCCTGTCGTTCGGGCGTGGCCTTTGTTTCCACCCCCCTCCGCGGCCGCCTCGTCTGTCCTCTCCCCTCTCCTGCACGCTGGCGAATTCGCTTCTCGGTGCACCCGTTTGGACCTACGTCTCGCTGGTGCAGCCAACTCTGCGTCGCTGCCTACCAAGCTTTTTTTAAACAAGGACCTGTCGTGCTTTCGGACATGGCAACAGGTACTCTCACAAACCTCCAGGCATTCTCCAGCGATTCTGGTTTTGCTTTTGGGGAAGAAGGGATGCGCACTTTTGAAGTTATTGTCGCACCATGCTAGGACCTAGGATGTCTCAGACGCTATTTTGCCAAGAAAAGAAAGCACAAGCCAACGCGAAACCAGATCCGCCTTCCGTTGCAGCTGTCCTGCACGATAGATTCTCGAGCGGTTTATGTAGAGGAAGTTTCGAGTGGCCCCACTTGTTTGAACACCAACCGCCGTCCATCTGTGTAGATGCTGCAAGGTTCTAAGATGAGCGGGCGCGGCGTCCAGGCGAGAGCTCAATGTTGGAAAAGGCCACGTCTCTTTTCGTGCAACTTGCTTTGTCAGTGCAAGGTGCCCGTCGCAAAGGAGAGAACTCCGTTTTGAACGCAGCCAGTAGCTCGTCTGTGGAAATAATGGAACCTACGAGTTTCATGACCGCCTGTTGTGAGGAAGGCCAGGCGACATGCCTGGACCGCGGCACGCCTGGGCGTGCGACAGGGAGGAGTTACGTACAGTGGAGGCCGATGGTGTTGCCATGGTTTGCGTGACTCCCACGCCAAAAGTCAATGGACGTCTCGGGGTCTCGGTGTTGGGTTTCTCATGGAAGGTTTCTTGTAGTCGTGCCCCTTACGGTGCTGAAGAAATGCGGTGGACAAAGGGAGTTGGAGGAGGAGGAGGAGGAGGAGAAGTTGGAGGAGGAGGAGGAGGAGGAGGAGGAGTTGGAGGACGAGGAGGAGGAGGGCGAGGAGGAGGAGGAGGATCGAAGCTCGAGGATGGGGGCTCCATGCTCCAGGACCGCGGCTCGAGGAGGCGCTCGGAGGCTGGGGGCCGTCAGGGGGGGGGGGTGGGCTGGCGGGCCACGGTGGGCTCGGCGTTTCCTCGAGGGGCAGCGGCGTTTCCTCGAGGACGCGTCCAGCGCTTGGCATCGTTCGGACGTGTGCGTTTTTGATCGGCGACCGTCGAGGAGCATCTTGGGCCATCCCGCGGACAGATGCACGCGCGAAGCCGAGACATTCACGGGGCATGGGCGTCCGAGCGGCGGCAACTTGGCACCGCTCGGCCCCCGAGGAGCACCTCGACACGACCGTGATCATAAACCACCTGGGCTGTCCGACCATGGCAGACCTGACGGAGAAGAAGGACTGGCAACGCAGAGGAGGAAAGTCGACCACGCGCAGAGGGGGTTAGGGGGAGAGGGGAAGGCTCCTTCGAAGCAGCCCTGCTTCTTAGAAGGCGCGGGCCTCATCTGTAGATGTAGGGCCAGTGCCTTCTAAGAAGCTGCCTCCTTCTAAGACGCCTCCACCCCTCCTTCTACCCCCTTGTGAGCGCAGTCAAGAACATGCGCCGATAACCGCCACTCTTCTGTGGTTTTCGCCCTCTTGGACCTCCTCCTGGGAGGCTCTCGTCGCCACCGTGAAGTTCGCCTCGAAGTCTTTGACGCTTCGCATACAGTCGGACCTAGGTATAAGATCGAGGTCGGTTCGGGGAGGGTACCCTACCACTGTTCTTCCTATTTGTTGGATGTTCATGTGCATCCTGGGGAGGGTACCCTTGGATGTTCTGAGTGTTTTGGCGACCGAGGGTTTCATGTTCTTGAAGGATCGTATTCTGGCCTAGGTCCGACTGTATCCCCGCATGCAGTCACGCAGCGGAACAAAGAGACGGCAGTCGTTACCTTCGGAAAGAGAAGAAGGATCGCCAGGAGCTTGTGTGGAGCTCCTCGTTTCTGAAGATGTGCGTAGCCCGCTTAGCTTTTAGCGGAAGAGGTTCGCTCTCGCCCCGCATATCAAAAATTGTGTGGAGCTCCTCGGGAACTTCGCAGAGGGTGTAGCGGGGTCTAAAAGGGGGGTGCAGGAGGTTGAGGGGGGTTGGGGGCTCTCTTGGTGCGGCCATCTTTGTGGCTTTCGGGGGCCTCTTATGTCCATCTTGGGAGCCTTCGATCAAGGAAGGGAGGGGTAATACATGTTTGCCCCTCCCTCGGGTGCATCAAAACTATCTAGTGGCCCCCTCCTGGGGCTCTCTTCGGCCAGAAGGCAAACCACATCGATTGTCCTCGGGCTTTTGAAGGAATTTGGCCACTCTGGAGCGTCCCTGGGAGGCTCCGTGGCCACTTAACAATCTTCGGCTATCTTCAGCGATATTGGAGACCATCTTGGGCTATCTGGGACACTCCCCGAAGGGGAAGAAGGGGGTCAATTAGCAGAACAACTCCCTTAAACCACTCACTCCCAGATGGCTGGTGGGATTCTGATCAGAATGCACCCTGGGAGGGGTCGGTAGAGTCGCGGTATCGGTACCTCTCTGTTTCCCCAAGGAGTGGTAACGCTCCCCAAACCCCCACCTCCTCTCGTCGTGGAAGGATCATGGCAAATGGTTTTGGTAACTTTCGGACTCCGGGGTCCTTTGCCGGGCCTTGGGTCCTTCAAGATCGGGGGTTCGTAGAGGGAGGGTTATCCCAAGGTGGGGCTGGGGAACGGGCCCAGCCAGATGCTCCCGCTTCACGTGCTTCCTTCTTCCAGGGGCCGTTTGGAGCGATTTTCCCTCCAACCCCACCTTTGCCCCTACCCCCACCTTTGTGCCCCCCCCGACAAGAAACGATTGAAAGGCCGCCAACTCTCCGGGGGTCACGTTGCGAAAGAACCGCACCCGAGCTCTGGGCGCCTCGAGCGTCGTGGAAGGATGGGGACGAAGACCGGCAGCGCGTCCATGCCCACTTTGAACAGGGCTCGTCACCGGCGTCGCCGCGGGACGCGTGCTGCAGTCGAACGGAGCGTCGCCTGCCCAACAGCGGCCGCTGTCGGTTTCAGATGTTATTTTCTGCTGGGCGTCGTGCTCGTTTCGGACTGCGCCAGGACGAGGATAAGCCCGTTCCAGAGCGTGCCGGAACGCTCTCAGAGCGCTCCTGAGCGCTCTGAGAAGGCCGCTGCGCCCGAGAGATCCTCCAGAGCCGCCGGATCTCGGAGATTCTCGATGTATCCTCGCCCGGCTTCATCCTCGTCTTGGCTTCGCCTTCTCATTTCACATGCACCCATCTCCAGCGTGCCAAGCAGCCCCTGGGAGCTAGTCCCGGCTGGCCTCAGCAGACCCGCGTGGGTGGCCCGCGGCAGCCTCGGTACCCCAGGTGCCGGAGAGCACCGCCCGAGGCGTTCGGTGGGGGCTACACGAGAGGACCGTGTGGGCTCGGTGACGAGTTCGAAGACGAAACATCGGCATAAACAGAAACTTTGGCGCTCCGCGCGGATCTCTGGGATCCACGCTGGGCCCCCCCCCCCCGCGGCGCCTCTGGCGCCGCCCCTGGCGCGCTCCGGGGGTCAGCGCAGATCCAAGAAATCCGCGCGGAGCGACAAAGTTTGTGTTTATGCCGTTTTTTCGTCTTCTGTGAATTAGTCGATGCATTGACGATGCAGCGCGATCCTTCGACCCCATCTACTCGGACCCTGTCTTGGAGGCCTCCAGTAGTGAATTAGGGGCTCTGGCTTCACGGCCACTCCTGTCGCACCGCCTGTGGCGCTGGCTCGCTTCAGTTTTCCGTGGCTGCACACCCCATTCCTGCAAACCAAGCCTTCTGGAGGTCAGCGCGTCTGGCACAATTGCCACCCTTCTTGGGTCACCTTTCGTTTCTCGTTTCAGCGTTCCTCAGATTTGGGCGGGGAACCTGTTCGTGGCCGAAAGTTGCCGTACCACGATGACTATACCCTAGGTAGGGTGCGCTGAGGCCGGCTGGGACCACCTCCAGGGTCTTCTGTGCGCAGGCCTGAGAGCCCTGCCAAGAAGGACCAGTATTGGTCTGGCATGGAGGCATTGGCGGCGCTGCCGAACACATACATCAAGCTGAGCATGCTGTGCTACGCGGACCCGAACTGGGACGAGAGCGAGGTGGTCGTCAGTGCGGTGCACCGAGTAATCTCCACGTTCGGCGCGAGCCGGTGCATGTTTGCCTCCAATTACCCGGTGGACGTCAAAGACGGCTGGCCTGCGGCAAGGTTGTTTTCTGCTTTCCTGAAGCTTGCCGAACGATACAGCGACGAGGAGCGTGCTCACCTCTTCATCGGTGCTGCACAGCGAGCGTACCGCTGGGTGCAGTAGCCTCTGAGAAACCTGGACTTCCCTGCGGCGCCTGCATTCCACGGGCTGCTTCTGTGCGTCCTGCAGGCTTGGTTTCGGGAGCAGGGCCATGACCATGATGCCACGCTCGTCGCCGCCACCGCGCGCAGATCTAGTAAGCACTCTTCGGTTTTAGGCTCACTGGCGTGAGACGTCCAGGAAAAAGTCTGCGCACTCTTCGGCGGTGCGCTGAGGGGGGAAACTCAGAGGGTGGCGGGGCCTCCCAGGAGCCCTCCGGCCCTCTGGTGAGCCGCGTGTGGCCTCGGAGAAGGCTCGTCGGAAGGCCGGAGGCCCTCTGAGCCCTCGAGAAGGCTTGCTCTTTCCTCCTCCTCCTCCTCCTCCTCCTCCTCCTCCTCCTCCTCCTCCTCCTCCTCCTCCTCCTCCTCCCCCTCTTCCTCCCCCTCCTCCTCCTCCTCATGCTCTTCCTCCTCCTCCTCCTCCTCCTCCTCCCGGTTCCATGCTCTTCCTCGTCATCCTCCTCTTTCTCCTCCTCCTCGTTCCTCTTTCTCCTCCTCCTCGTTCCTCCTCCTCCTCCTCCTCCTCCTCCTCCTCCTCCTCCTCCTCCTCCTCCTCCTCCTCCCTCTCACGTCCCCCCTTCGCGCTTCTGAGCCCCAGACGTCCAGCCTCGCGTTTTTTGTCCAGACACGGGCCCCCGACCTCGCGACATCCCCCAGGACCAGCCTCTCATCCCGAGTCGTCGTCTTTTGTCGAGCCCGAGGCCTGGTGAGAGCCCGAGAGGCCGCAAACAATGCACAGCCTCCGCCTCTCGATGCCTTGAGCTATTTTTTGGCGAAGGCCCCCTCCTCCTCCTCCTCCTCCTCCTCCTTCTCCTCCTCCTCCTTCTCCTCCTCCTCCTCCTCCTCCTCCTTCTCCTTCTCCTCCTCCTCCTCCTCCTCCTCCTCCTCCTCCTCCTCCTCCTCCTCCTCCCGTACCTTCGTGCACACGTACGGCTCCCATGAGAAAGCGAGGGCCCACCTTCGCTCTGGGGGGCGGCCCGTGACCAGTGCACCCTGCAGCAGCCCCATGGTGCACATCCCATGCGTCGTCGGGCACTCCCTCCCGCCGCTTTCCGTAGGAGGATGAGGAGGAGTAGGAGGAGAAGGGATGATGATAATGATGATATTGATGATGAAGACCATTGGTGATGATGATGATGATCAGGAGGAGGAGGATGAGGAGGAGGAGGTTAATGGTTATGATGATGATGATGATACTGCTGCTGATGATGGTGATGATGATGACGATGTTGATGATGATGCTGACGATTAATGTGATGATGATGCTGATACTGATGATGATGATGATGATGATGATGATGATGATGATGATGAGTACGATAATGGAGATGATGATGAGGACGATAATGCTGATGATCAGGATGACGATGATGATGATGATGATCATGATGATGATTGTGATGATGATGATCATGAGGATGATGATGATGGTTATGATGATGATGGTGCTGCTGATGATGAAGACGATGGTGATTACGATGCTGATGATGATGGTGATGATGCTGATGATGTTGATGATGCTGATAATGCCGATGATGATGCTGATGATGATGGTGATGATGAGGAGGAGGATGTGGATGAGGATGACGATGGAGATGATGATAATGATGACGACGATGATGATGATGATGATCCTGATGACGGTAATGCTGATGATGATGATGTTGTTGATGATGATGCTGACGATGATGAAGATGAGGATGATGAGGATGATGACGACGATGCTGATGGCGATGAGTATGATGGTGGTGGTGATGGTGATGGTGCTGCTGATGATGATGGTGTTGATGATGCTGATGCTGATGCTGATGAAGCTGATGATGATGATGGTGATGATGAGGAGGATGAGAATGTGAATGAGGATGACGATGGATATGATGATGTTGATGATGACGACGGTGATGATGATGATGATGATGATGATGATGCTGATGATGGTGATGCTGGTGATGATGAGGATGATGCTGCCGATGATGATGATGCTGACGACGATGAGGATGATGATGATGAGGATGATGACGACGACGATGATGGTGATGATTATGATGGTGGTGGTGATGGTGATGCTGATGATGATGA